TCTGAGTTTGGATAGTTCCAGTTGCACAGTGATAGTTTAACATTTACTGTGTCTAATAAGACAAAATGAAGATGGAAGAGTGGTATATTAGAACTAGCTTAAGGGAAGAAGAGAATTAATAGACTCAAGCCTGGAAATCTGAAATTGGAGCTGGATTGATCGTTATTGCTTTGAGTCTAAGAGGGAGATCTTCTTTATTCCAGCCCACGTTTGACTAATCTCAGGAACGAAACTGCTCGTGTCTCTTTGGGATGCTTGATTCTGAACCAGTGACAGGGAAACACTAAGCCCTTTTGTACTGGAACATGGGAGAATCCTTTGCATCATTTGACCAAACTAAGAGCAAAGACTTAAAGTCACTAACATTGGGGTTTCCTCCCTGGATGACCAAGCAGGTCTCTATACGGCGATTCCTGTAATCAACAACCTCCAAGTGCTTGGAGATACCACTCCATCAGCCTGTTAATTCCCCACTCTGAAACATGAGCAAATAACAGAGTTTTACCAGACTACTGAGGGAAGCAGTGAATGTAAAAAGTAGAGACCCAAACTAAGAGAGAAAAATAACTTCTGTGAAGGAGAGAAGAAAATCTTTAAAAAAAAGTCATCCATAGTCTCAGGGATATAATAGAAGGTTGTGCATTCATGTAGCAAGAACAGGATAGGATGAAAAAAGAGAGTATTATGAGAATTAAAGAGAGCTTTTAGAAATTAAAATGTAGCACTCAACAGAAGAGCTAGAGAGAAAGTTGAGGGAATATTCCAGAAGGTAGGTTAGAAAGTGAAGTTGTTAGAAAGTAAAGGGGGAAATTAAGGAAATGAAGGAAGTCCAGCATTGGAGTGTCTGTTAGAATAAAAGAGAAGATGGAGATGAGGGTAGTAGGAATCATTCAAGAATGTATCTTAGAACCGAAGAACATGAATTTCAATCTTGAAAGACGTCACTCACTGCCCTCAAACCCACGGATTACCGCTAGACACATCATCGTGAGATTTCAGAACGTTAAAAGATCCGTCAGCTAGGATGATACCAGACTTCTCAACAATGGAAGCCCAAAAGCAATAGAGGGAAGCCTCAATTCTGGTGGAGGATGTTTTTCCAACTTATAATTGGAAAAGGTGGAAGGAAGCAATCTTTATGGCCAGGAGGAGGTTGGCTTTAGACCTCTTCTCTCGTCCGTGGAGAGCGCGTGAGGCCGGCTGGCCGGATAGCACGCATGCAGGCTGCGCCGTGAGCCTTCACCACAGCCTCATGTTTTGATCCTATAATCTAACTTCTGGGATTTGACATTAAGGAAACATCAGAAATGTAGGATTTATGGCTGAGGATGATGACTACGGCACTGTTGATAATGGTGAAAAAAAAACCCCACAATTTAGTGTTCAGCAGTAGAGGCATGGTAAATAAATTACCTTATTTACCTGATAATAAAAATTACACTCCCATTTCAAGTCATGTTTTCAGTGAATCTTAGTGACACAGGAAAAATGCTTTCTATGTAATGTAAAATGAGAAATGGATTAGAATTTTAAATTCTATATGAACCGAAAAAAGAAATCCACAGAGATAAACTATTAATATCTGGAGTAGACACTGTAAATATAAAATGATCCCTGGGTGTTAGAAATACAAGTGGTTTTAATTTATTCCTTTGTGATTTTATTTTCTGGGATGTCTACTAGAAGTGTGTCTGTCTTTTGTGGGAAGGAAGAAAAAAGTAGACGTTGTTGAAAAAGTCAACATGTGACACTTTATTTGCCAACGCGAGTGAGTTCTGCGGCCACCTGGGTGGACATAAAGAAATCCTCTGAGTGGAGCGGCCACTTGTCTTTGCAGACTCACGTGACGTTTCGCTCTGCTACGCCTTTGGGAGTGTGCTCTTCAGTATTTGTATTGTCACCCTTGAGTTCTACTTAAAATGATGGATATGGTGCACTTAAGTTGAATTCTTATTTACAGTCCCAGATTACCTTCTTGTAGCATCTGGTTGGAGGCGAATGGATACAGTCGAATCCGTGAGGAGCCATAAGACTTGAGCAAACTTTTCCCCTTGAATAAGTGTTATCTAAGCCACCAATACTTAACTGATTTATTAATAGCTAGTTACATTCATGGACCTTTTTTTTTTTCCTTTACAGAACATCTTTGTGCCTGATGACATTTTTGAGGTAGAATGATTTTCTTGAATTTATAAATAAATGAAAAAAGGAAATAATATGACACCTATAACAGCATCTTAGGTTGCTTCTCCTTTGAAATTGTATTTATATAAAAACGCAGCACGTTCCATAAAAACCTGCGCTATGTTAGGAAGTTTGCCCTGAGTCGTTTGTGGAATATTAGGGGGAAACTGTTAAGTCTCCTTTTGAAGTTTCTTAGGTTTAAAAATTGCTGTGTTTTCTTTTAACTAGCTTGACTTTATTACATTAAAACTTTTAAGAGAGCCAAGAATTGATGGTGATTTAGGACATGTTCCAAACTCTGAAATTCAGCTTACGGGTGCAGTGGTCTAGCGGGGACTGTCCAGTGCTGCGGCTGCTAGCCACATGTGGCTATTTAAATTCAAATTCATTAAAATTAAAATGCAGATACTCAGCTGTACTAGCTGTATTTCAAGTGCTCAGTAGCCACACGTGGCCAGTGGTTACCGTGTAGGTGTAGGAAGTTCCATTAGACAATGCTGGTCTAGAGATACTCAAAATACATAATAAGCTCCCAATAATTTTTGATTAGTTTAAGAATAATATCTAATGAGTGTTCTTCCCACTCAGTTCCTTCCTAACAAGGCTTTGCTCAGCCTATGTTAACATTACTTATATTCTTTGAGCACACCCCAAATGGAAGGGAGAGGCACTGGTGTTGAGAGGGGAGGATGCTTTAGGGTATTAAATTTGGTTCAGATAGAAATTAAAATGTAACACTCAATAGAAGAGCTAGAGAGAAAGCTGAGGGAATATTCCAGAATATTCCAGAGGATGCTTTACGGTATTAAATTTGGTTCAGATAAATGGATAATCTGAATGCAGAAAATATACAATGTTCTAAAAACACCTGGTAGATTCATAGAATTTTAGATTTGAAAAGGGCCATTGATTGCATCTAGTTAAGCCTTCTTATTTAACTGAGGAGAATTTGGAGGAACAGAGAGGTTAAGTAATTTGTGTATGTCACACAGCTACAGAATGACCTGGTTACTCCCTTCAAGAAATCTGAAAAAACAAAACAATCCCCCCCAACACAACCTTTCATTGAATTTTAATATTTAACTAATGAATTTATAAATGCATCTTTTTCTAAATGCTTACACAATAAGCATTTAGAATGGGTTTATTCAAAAAGAATACTTTTTTTTTAGTTTCAGATCATTCCTGTATATACCATATTTTCTTACACGGTCTGTCTTAGATTTAAACTTCTAGAGGGCTGGGATGAAGGTGTTTAACTTGCTTTCTCTGTTGTTACCTGCAAGTGCCACAGTGAGCGTGTGTACCTGGGTCTTCAGGCTTGGTATTCACCTGTCCTTGGTGTGGTTTTTAAACAAACCGGAGAAACCATTTCGTACATAACACTCTGCTTTTGCTTGTAGCTCCCACATGTCCTGGCCAGTCCTGACTGGAGATTTTGTACCATGCATGTTGACTTCTCCTCACGCCCTGTGCCCTGTTTCCTTCAGGCAATGTGATAACCCCTGTGCTCCGGGTGTCGAACGCATGAACGATAATCTCATCATTCCCAGGCACTTGCCGTGTTGGGTTGCCGTTCATTTGCTTATTCATGAGCCTATCTTTGCAGCAGTAAGATGCCTAGGCTGCTGTTTCATGAACCAGTCTAGATATTTGTTATAGTTCCTGTCCTAAAATAGATATTTTCTTTCTTCGTATTTTGATAGAGAAGTAGCTTTGTATCCTCTCCACCGTGCCCGGTGAATACTTTATGCACAAGTGGATAAATAAATACATGTTGAATGCAATTCCAGTGCTGTGTGCCTGGGACGTTTCCTGGCTGTCCCTGGCAGCAGATTCCAGCTTTGGCCCAGCCATTGCACAAATGAGTAACACATTCTTGTGTGAACCTTCAATTTTGACAAACTCTCCTAGTGTGTGTGTGTGTGTGTGTGTGTGTGTGTGTGTGTGTGTATTTTAAGAAGGGTGTGGTATTCCTAAAAGATATTTTACTAGTTTGTGAGTCACAGAACATGCCATCGATAGGTATAATCCACTGTATTCTTTCTTGTCTTCATCCATACTTGACCCGTTGCTGATTTAAAATTCTGTCTACCTATGGAATGAAAGAGAACACTGAATGAACGAGAGATTAAAAAACACCACGTTGGTTCCAGCTGCTCCTGGTATCTCTGGGCTCTGACGTCAGTGAACGGGACCGCAGCATTCTGTGAGCACGGGCTCTCAGTCTGCCTCTTTTTGTCATATGAGAAGGCAAGCGAGGAATGGCAGTGCCATCACAGGGAACGATGTCTTGAATCCATTTCTAGTTTGCGCAAAAGCACATTGTTTGCAAACGTCGGTGCTTTAACTGGTTCTGCTAAGAGGTCACGTGTGACACTCGAGGCCTTCTCACTGAGCCGTGTGGTGCCCGCGTGCGGGACGCTGAGGTTGCGGAGGGTTTGCTGCTTCACAGCATCGAAGCAGAGGCGGGCCTCGCTCACCGTTTCCGCGGTGGACGGGGGATAGAAGTGTAGGTTCTGTTTGTTCCTGAAAAATGTGTCCATCTCCGTGGTGCTAATGACCTCTAGGTAATTGACGGTTTTGCTGTGCTGCGACCTTTGTTGTTGACCTTGCACAGAGGTGTACCCTTTCGTCTTCATTCCTGGTATTTTCTCTTATCAACATTCCATGCCATCCTAAATGTTGCAATCAAGTGGCGACAACACTGATGGGATCACGTCATTTTTAGAGAGTTTCAAAACAAGTTAATGTAATTCATATAGTTAAAGTGCTCTGATTTTTTTTTTTCTTTCTTTCTTTTCGGTTGCTCTTAGGTAGTTCTTCCTGCAGGATGAATTAAGAGAAGGGGACACTTACTCATCAGGAATGGAGAGCGGTTTGTCAGTTTCCAATATGCAAGACCCTTCGTCTTCACCCTTGGAAAAGCATCTTGGGTCAGCAAACAGAAATGGAGACCTTGATTCAGGTAGGGTTTTGTTTTCTAGATCCATCTGGCTTCTTGATTTATAGACCAATATCTTCCTGAAAAGGTTCAGGAAACGATGGGGCGACATTTCTACCTAGATCTCACATTCTGCATGTTCCTGGGATTTGCCGTCCGATTTATTTATTTATTTATTTTAGGATCCGGGTCTCGCTCTGTCACCCAGACTAGGGTGCAGTGGCACCATCATAGCTCACTGTAACCTCTAACTTCTGGGCTCAAACAATCAATGCTCCCGGCTCATTCTCCCCAGTAGCTAGGGCTACAGGTGCATACCACTACGCTCGGTTAATTTTTTTATTTTGTGGAGAGATGGGGTCTTGCTATGCTGCCCAGACTATTCTTGAACTTCTGGCCTCAAGCGATCATCCCGCTTTGGCCTCCCAGAGTGCTGCGATTACTGTTGTGAGCCCCCGAGCCCAGCCTGCTGTCCTATTTAAAAGGCTACAGCAGCCTTAAAGTTAATGCAGGATTTGGGTCAAATTAATATTACTTTACTAAGTATAGCAGGCTCGATTATAGCGAGATGACACATCACTTCACAATCTCAGTGGCTTAAAGCAGTAAATATTTATAAATCGTTACACCATCTCCAACAGACCTCACTGTGCACCATCCTCCAGGGTAGGGTGTGTCATGATTGGGAAAAGCAGAGCGGGAGGTCTTGAGCCAGACATTCAGTGCTCTAGCTCAGAAGAGACAAATGGGTATTTCTGTCCAGCATCCCTTGACCAGAAGTTGTTCATATGTTTATGCCACAGCAAGGGAGACAGGAAACAGAATTCTCTCCCATGTGCCCGGGGAGAGACAGGAGAACTGGGTCTGCCTAAAAGACACAGGACGTTTGCAAAGTTGAGCACATCTTTGAGAAAAGTCTGTCATGTGAAAGAAAGTTAGGTCCTGGGGGTCTTCAGTAAAGTGTTTCTGCTTTCAAAAAATCTG